CATTAACTCTGGTGCTTCAAGTCCGTATGCTCTAGGATGCTCGTGTGCTGCACAAAACCAGTGAGTTTTGCAAAAACGATGTAGAGGTTTGAGACTGTACTCACTGTATTTTTTCTTTCCTCTTCTTCAATTGAATGCAGAAATCACGTTTGCGATCTTCTTCTTCTGTTCACTGGCTCCTTTGGTCTCAATGGCACCAAGAGAAGAAGGGAAAACTACTATAGGACAGAGGCAGAAGCAATATACTACCAGCATAAAGCCCCTTCTAGTCCTTGAAAAGCGAGCAACTACCTTGTTCAAAAACTACGTAAGTGTACTATTTTGCATTTTCTGGGCCTATGACTGGGGAGGAATCCCTTGAATTATTCTAAAATAGTAATAGAAAGACCATCAGAAAATAAATATTTGGGTTAGAACCTGAAAGAGGCACCTCTCAATAGCCCATATAAGGAAAGCAATTATACTGCGTTATCTTATGATCAAGTTGGAGCACTGTCTAGAATGGTTAGGCAGCTCTGGTCTTCCAGATTCACACATTTTTCGTCATCTCCTAATTCATGCTGAGCTTGAAGCAGGCAGTTTCTTGGATGAAACCAGTCAGTTCACAGTCAGATCACTGGGAAGACAGAGAGAATTGCCTTACTCTTCAGTTTGACCATAATGCTAGGGCAGCCAGGTGCGCTTCTGAAAAAAATCCTGCCCAGCCTTTCCTTGGAGATGACAAAAAACATGCACTGAATCAAAGGATCAGTGCTGAAGGTAAATTTCAATTCCTGAGAACACGTTCCCAGGAATGTATTGATAAAAAAAATCAGTGTAGGACATTTCTCCTGAATTCATTCTTGAAATCTAAACCATCTCTGCTAAAACAGATAAAAACATGGTCAAAGCACAAGGAAATTTTACCTATACGGCAACAACTACAAAAAAACTTAGAAGTGTCAAAAACAATGACAAGTAGATTATTAAGATAAACAGTGCTGCACAGTCACAGCCACAGACACTGTGCAAGACTGACTTGATAAAGGACAGTAGGTGTTAATACAGCTATTGAACAATAATAACAAAATCTCAAGCAGACACAACTGAATACTCCTAGACAGCCTAACACGGAAACTAGTGGGAAAGATGGAAACCAAAAGAATAACAGTCTCTCTTCCTCCTCTGCAGAACGGATGTAGTCCTATAACAGAAACAACCAAAAACTGGCTAACTGCTGATGCCCAAGTCAATGAAATGATGAAGAAAATATCCAAATGCCCAGCTGCGGAAGCAGACTGCTGCATGCACATGTTTTGCAATGTTTTAGAAACCCTAAAAAGTGATATAGAAATGATTTGTGGTAAGAATTTCACTGACTTTGTGAATGTAAACACCATCCAGTTAAACATGACGCTGCTTGAGAGAGATGCGCTTCACAGCTGCAAGAACAAGGACCTTCTGCTGAATATTCAGGATGACATCCAGGCAATGAGAACAGCACAGAAGAAGATATACATCTGGCGGGTTTTGGAGAAATATGAGCAATTTATGCAAAACACAACAAAAACGTACAGTTCAGGAGAAATGTAATATGTCAGGATGAAAAAATAACTGCAGGATCTTAGAGCTTTGCCTGTATCTGACCGTCCATCATTTATGATCAGTTTGATGCCAGGAAAAATGTTAATAATGTACTGCTCTCCTATTCATAGCTATATGATCTAGTTTAATATTTAAAAGATGAATGTCTTAAGTTATTGATTTTATTTATTATAAAACTATTTATACTGTTGTATTTGCAACGTGTCATGTAAAAAGGGTGCAATGACATAAGCCAGAGTGATTTAATTAACTGGTTATTGTATAAATAAGCAAACAGGGAAGCATGATTTCAGTGATTTTAATGTTATTTATATTTTTATATTGTAATTATTTCCAAGAGATGGAAATTATTACCAGCAGATTTCTGTACTTCTCATTACTAGCAAGTATTTATGAATATATGGAATACATTTTCATATAAATTTATTTAAGCATTTTTATAGTTTTTATTCAGATTTTTAATGTTTATACTTTAATGCTTGGAAGGGTTGAATGAGATACTTACAACTTAGGTGAACACTTTTACTCATTTTCTATATGTTTGGATAAAACCTGGCATTGAATTAAAATGAGATTAAATAAAACTTATATTGCTAATTCTTTATTACACAATTCTTTTCTTTTTCCAGTCTTTTGAACATTGAAAACCCAAGGTTTTATTAAATAGCAAACTGAAGTAGTTGCTTCTGGTTATAAACTTTAGAAATAGCATATCTCCTCCTTCCCCACCTGCTTCTTGTTGATAGATATGAAGATCACAGCAGCTTTTCTCCCTAAGCTCCCAATTGGTTTCCTAATTTGGATCCAGTAGCAGGTAAATTCAGCTCTCACTGTTGAAGGCTGAATTGTTGTGCCTACTGCATACCAGTGTAGGTTTGCAGCAGCAGTGCTGGAAAAGCATGGAGCCCATGGAAACACACTGTGGGGCAGCTCAGACACGAGTGCTGCACCAAAACGTGCCTGAGCTAATTACTGCTCCTGGCACTGGAACAGGGACACTCTGATGTCCTGGGAGCAGCAAGACTTGTCAGAGCCTAGTTTTGCCTTTAGGTCATATCAACTCCTAATCATTGGCAATAACGGGGAGGTTAATCATGTGGTGATTGAAGTTCAAATTACCACAAAAATTTCAAGCCAGTCTAAGCATTAGAATCAGTTCAAAACTAACATTACTTTTATATATGTGTACACATTTCATTGACTTGAAACTCAACTATTTAAAACCCAAATAAAAGGATCACTTCTCTCACCATCCCACACTGCCAGTGACCCAACCCAGCACTGACTGCTCCACAGCATTCCAAATTCTGCTCTCAGCATCCAGTGTTAAGAAGTGAGTAAAGGGTGGGCAGCAGGACTTAGGGATGTGATGGAGTAACCTTTTGTGAGTTTGCTTGCATTTTAATGATGCTCAGACCTCAGAGTTTGTGATGCACACACCTTGTTCTGAGATAGCTAGTGTTCCTACACTTGCCTGTCACCCAAGTATTCATTGCCTGCACACTTCCTGGCGATGAATACTGTCTTCAGGAAGAGCAGCTTAAGTTCAAAAAGAGCAGCAGGAAAGATCCTGAGTGTAAATGCAGCTAAAAAAAATTGATTTTAAAAAAAATTATTAATTCTAGTGAGCACTGGCTTCTGTTTCTTTTGCCAAGATTCAATCAACTAGTGCTAGGAGAAAACAAAGTTTGCCAGAGATGCATTACAAGGGATGTTTAGGAAAGCATTTGGGGTTAAGTACACGTGAAGAGAGACCTATGCTGCCTTCCCTCTGAAGTGCCAATTCCCTTATAGCAGCAATTTCTTTCAGAATAATTTGCTTAAAGCAGATATAAGTCTACTTTTTCGTGCTGTTCAAGAAATAGCAAAATCAGCCACAGAAATAAGCTATTTCAGTAACCATTACTTTTGGCATATCAGCTACTTCTAATAGCGGCCTCACTGAAATCACCACAAAATCAGTAGTAAAGAAACAGTGCTCTGCAGCCACAGCTTCCTCCCAGAGAGGTCTGATAGCATCGCTGCAGTACCACTGGCATTGGTATGCTTGGCCGAGAGCGAAGTCAGGCTGAAGTGTGGTTTTATCACTGCTTAAATAGCACTGTTCTTCACTGCCTGCTACTAAAATGCTTTGTGCGAGATCAATTTAAAGATATTAAAAAAGTAAATGTGAACACAGTAAGAAAGCCACAATATATTCTCCTGAAATCACAGGCTTGACTCATCAGAATTTCTCAAACTATATTAAGGTCAAAGTGACCAATCCTGAGAGGGACATTAACCAGCATCAAGCCTTCAGCAATGATTTTAAAATAAAATCCCTGTTTTCAATCAACTGAAGCAGTAATCTGTAGCATCCTACCAGGGGAAGAAAACAAACAAACCAACCAATCCAAGAAACAAAATACAGTCTTTAAGGGAAATGGTGAAATATTATTTCTCTTTTTTGTTTGTTTTTAAATGGACTTAAGCAGCTTAATGCCTAACACTGACATCAGTGGCACGGGAATACCATGTCCAACCTCAGCACTGCTCAGTAAAGTCCACTGTCCAGGCATTAAGTCAGTCAAGAGTCCCAAATCCAACCTTGCAAGAAAATAAGAGCTTGAGGGCTCAAGGTGTTGGTACAGTACCTACAGACTTAAGAGTTTTACTTTTCGTAGAGAAACACCGAGGCTACATTTGAATGATCAACCTCTAAGTTAAAAGCAGATACATAACCAAGAAGATTTCTGTCTGCTTAATTTTATCATGAGAGCCCATTCTCACTATTCTACTTAATATAATCAGCAGCAATCAAGATCAGGGTCAGTTCATTCTCAGAACGCACCAGAACCTCAATAAATTTGGAGAATAATGTCATGCAAAATGTGGAAGAACAGACTCACAAGGTGAAGAAACGTATGCCCTGCAGACAGATTTGGGGAAGTGGTACTGAAGCCTTGCTCTTCTGTGATTTCTAACCTTTGTGAGCACAGTTGACTACAGAGGATAATTTTCAGGTTTTGTTCATCTGGGTGTTGCTTTGGTGAGACAAGGAATACGCAGCACAGAACAAATACAGCCTGATGACCAATGTGTTAGGAAAGACAAATCATTTGTGCTTTAATGGTAACTTGTGCCCATCAGAGTGAGCCGATTCTTACATCCAAAAAGGGCCCAAGGGGCACAAATCTTAAAAAGACTCCTAGCTTCAAAAGATCACCAGCAGATACAAGTCTTGCAAAGGGAAAGACAAACAGAGGGATCCCAAAGGGGTGACTTCAGCACAGCTAATGTTGAAATGAGCCTTTGTCACCGTTCAGAGTTGCAAAAGAGATGCTAAGGTCCTGGACCAGGAAGACTTCTGCTTACCATTTCCCCACTTCCAAACTGAGTTCAGGTAAAAAAAAATAAAATAAAGACATTACAACTAATTTCTTCCAAAAAATAACCTTTATTGTTTTTGTCGTAAATATAAAAAATGCATTGCACAATATAACAGACCTACTGAAAAGTGCTACATATCAACAGCACAACAGATGTTGTGTCATGCAACAGAACAGGAAACCTAGGCAAAGCAAAAGTACAACCTGAAGTCCTCAAACCTCCAAGCTTTTTTTTTTTGAACAAGAATGGACTCCATTCACTTAAATACATTTAAATACAAGATTAGAAGAAAATAAGCAATTTGTTCATCGTGTTGTTAATTAAGAGGATTATTCCTAACTGATATATTTTGATTCAAAATTCTATTCATGTTGGGAATGTTCAGATATAAAAGCAAATCAGACAATGGCTAGAAAGTCTTTTATATACCTGGGTGTTATTTCCTTGCAATTGAATCAAATTTTACAGATCAATCTACAACTTGGTGCTACCACTTCTGCTCTAACACCAAAAATAAACGTGAAATCCATCCAAGAATGAAACCAAAGGAAAGCTGAGGCCTTAGCTATTGTGGAAACAGTACTGGGGTCCCATACAAGAAAGCCTTCAAAAGTAAATGATCTCTGAAATGGAGGTATATAACTTGGAAGAGAAATAGGAAAACAACCTCAGTTTCAGCACACAACCTCCAAAATGCCACGCAGACAACACACTCTCTTAACAACAAGGAAATCCTTGTTCTGCCATTTCACCAAATTTTCCACGTAGCATCAAATCAGGGGTAAGAATGTAAGACATCAAATGAATACAGGACCCCAAGATATTAAGGCACAGGTGGTAGCATTCTAGTAAGCTTGCCTTGAAGAAAGGCTTTCCTGGTGGTCTAGAAAAGCATGGAAAAATACAGCAATTGGATCAACTGGTATTAATTGCGAATCCAGTTTCTGTGCAGAGATTAGTCTGTCCAGATGAAGCAAGGACTTGTCTTCATCTTTACTACCAATTTCTTCCTTATAGTTTGCTCCTGGACTTTTCCTGCTTATCCCTCCTGTAAATAGATTTATATACTTCCTTCTAAGTTTATCAGATAACAAGTTCTATAGAACTTGTGTATAGGGAGGGGACCCTCTACAATGTACTAATTAAAATAATTCAAGGTCAGAAGGCACCACTAGACAACCTCAATTTGACCTTGCATGTATCACAGGCAAGAAATATTTTATCTAGCCATGCCCCTGTTAAGCAAAATATGTTGGATTTGACTGAATGAGTCATATTTGCTCATACAGGAATTCTTTGTAAGTCCAGAACCAACCACCTGAAGACAGATATGCATCATCTGTAACTCTGTAGACTATAGGCACAGTGTGTTTTGCTCGCTTAATGTACTTTGGTGAGACACAGGAAGTTAGACTGCTTAAGTCAGAGAAGAAAGTGGTACTGAGTTGTTCTGGCTTTTTGTGCTGTTTTTTTTTTTGTTGTTGTTGTTAAAGCTGAAATATATTATTTAGAGTCCTCAATCAGGAAAGGCAGAAAGACTAAGCGGCTTAAATATATAAGCAATTAGGAATCTAGGCAAGAATTAATACATACATAGTCTATTCCTTTTCATACCAATCCTCAGAACTTCTATGTGCAGAGATGAGATATATGATAGCTTTATCCTCCTGTGTTTCCATATGAAGAGAAATCACAACCCTCACAAAGCTAACGGATAAGAGAAAAAAATTCTGATTTGCAACAACTGGGTGATGAAAATACACTGAATCACTGCTTCAAAGAGTTACCACATCATTTCTGGTAATTGCACTACGTGGAAACTATCTCTTTTCACTATTCCTTCCCTCCCTCCTACACTCTTGCCTAAGTAAGCAATCTCTGACTTGATTTTCTCCCTTTACACTTCATTAAGATTTGTGGTCTTTTCAAAGTGACATGAGCTTTTTTTCTCCACCAGAAATTATTAAAATAAGCACTTTCCCCTCCAATTGTAACCAACTCAGTACAATGTGATGGTTTTTTCCATCCGCATCAAAACCATTAATGGGTAAAAGTTGCAGCAGTTCACTCATACTTCCCACCCTTCCTACTCCTTTAAGGTCCCTTTTGACTTCCAATTCAGTCAGTGAGATTCCAATCAGTAAGATCTAAGTTTAGAAGTCATCATATTTGCCTGGGCTTTGAGGCATGGCTGCACTGCACACTTTGCTTGTTGAGACATCATTGATACAACTGCAACCACAACTCCAAGATGTGGTTAAAAACACGGTAAAAATCAGGCACAATCACTGCCTGACAAGCAGGAGAATAATGCAAGGGAGTCACTCAGAACATGCTCATCTGAGTATAGCAAAAACACAAGTGGATCTATTCCTGGACTATTTGTCTAATGAAGTGTTTCTAGAAAACTGGATACATATTTTTAATATGCAAATATGCATGTAGATATCTAGGCATATCAGTGAGATAGCCCAGTAAAGAACTTGAGGCACACTCCCCAGCAAATCACAGTGTTAAGTGACTTCACTGGAATCAAGTTCACAGACAGTGATAAAAATAGGAGAACTGAAGTATCGATTAAAAAATTATCCTACAATAACTCATAGAATCATTGAATGGCTTGTGTTAAAGATCATCTAGTTCCAATATATTTTATCCAGATGCATCCAAAATAATATTACTTATTTGATAAAATAAAATCTATGAAAGACCTGGATATGGGCCCTCCCTAGAAAAACTATTCACTAATTGCTATGACAGTCTTTATACACTGTTTTATTAAATCACCAGCCCTGGAAGTCCCTTCCAGCTCCCCCACTCCACAACTCACAGTATCTCTGCTCCGGGAACAGACCCTGGGGTCTGTTGATGTATTCTTCTTGTTACAGTCCTGCTCACATGTAAGAAAACTCTGCAATGAAAGCCAGTAGCTTCAATAACTCAGGACAAGAAGGAAAAAAACCCAGTGCTCTCTGTGCCTAGTGCTGATGCCCTACTGCTGTTTTTTAAAGTTCGTCTCACTAAGTCGGAAGGATTGAGCTCAACACAGTATTACTGACTCCATTTCTGAATGTGTAATATCCAAATTTTGTAGCTACTCTTCATGTTTGCACTGTGATAGCCTGCCCAACACCTGCAGACAGCCTGTTTTTCAAATTGTCAGAAAACTACTTGGAGGAGTACCAGGGAAACTTTGCATAGTTCCAAAATATCAGAATCAAGTAAGAAGTGGAAATACGTGGGTCACAGGATCGTTCCAGGCCAAATATGAACAACTGGCCAGAATGAATATTCCAGTTTTGTCTAAGAATGGACAGACTATCAACTGTAACAAGACTCAGCTTATCTACAGCAAAGGACAGTACTTGCAGAGTCTCCAACAGAAAAATATTATGTTTAAAATTAGAAATACTGTATATCTTTATAAGTTTTAAAATTTATATTGAACGTAACTGTCCCAAACAGACCACACTTGGCTAAGTCCTTCAGGTTTTTTAAATAGAAGGCAAAAAGAGTAGGCGAAGAAGACAAAAGAAACTAAGAACTGACTATAAGCTAGCATGGTTTGCTACAGTTTCTGAGATAACATAAAAGCCAACTACTTAATTCTCAGAACTGAAGTTTTGTCTTTGAAGCACTATGACATTGATCTATGGATGTGTTTTACACGTGCACATTTTATGAGGAAGGCAGATGAACTCCTCAGAGTGCAAGAAAACAGATTAAATGAATATGAAATTCATGTGTCTATCCTGACTGTAGAATCTGCAAGCTAAAACTGCTTTCTTGCACTTACTGCACATCAATTTATTGCAATGGCTGTATCAGGAAAAATAATAAAAATGAACTACCTTATTTCTAGAGAATAAAGCATGTTTTGAAGCTGATCATATGTAACGGTACACTCATTAAAATTAAAATACACAAAACACAGCCTGAGATTTTAATTCTAGTATTTTCCACAAGTTGACATCACTGACAGATTATTCTTCTCCTTTGGTTTTTAAAGTGATCTTGTTCAATTTTAATTTTTACCTTTCAAGTAAAACAAATGGAACTGAACACCAGAAAACAAAATAAAAAGCATATTTTGTTTACCAAAACTAAAAGTACTTTTCCCCTCCGAGGGAACGTTCTTTGATGTACAAGATTTACATTTAAGAGAACTTAGCACTGGAAGCTGTTTTCCAGAAAGATGTTCGTTGCATACAGATGCATGCTGCATTGATGGAGATATATTGCTGCCTGCAGGATTGAATCCTGCTATTATTTACCTGAGCTTGGTGTTCTCACTTAATGGAGTAGAGCACAGCACTGAAGAGGAATCAAGATGTTACAAACAACGTTGCACCATACTTCAACAAATCCTGAAGGCAGAGCCAGATGCTCCAAACAACATCTTGATGATGGAGAGAATTCTTTCTAAAGTGCACCAACTGAAAGGAGACTCACCAGGCTGCTAGACTGGCATGTTCTCCACCCTTTGTACAAGTAACTCCTTGTCTTTGGTTGTTAGGTTTCACCAGCTGTTTCATTTGTCCTGCTGACTGCCTCAGTGGCTTGCTCTGGCAGGCGTGATGGATCTGACAGAACTGAGGTGCTTACACTTAGCTGCCGAAGGCTGCTCAACACCACTATTAAAAAAAAAAAGCCAGAGAAGTATGAAAAAGCCAGACTTACTGCAAACAGTTCCATGCAGGACATCATGCAAATACTGTAAGGCTGTTACAATGACAGAATTACAAAAATACTTCTAAGAAACGTGCATACTTGCACATATAGTAACAATAAGTAAGGTGTGTAAGAACTGTGCCCAGAGAACAAGAAATAAAGATCTACCTATTTCTTTCTACTGAAAAGAACACTTTTTGGCAATTCTGAATCAGAACATAAACAATTGTTGATTTTTAAAGGGCAAACGGTAAAGAAATGAGGCCCAAACCAATGTTCATTTTAATGGGAAATACAAACTCTGAAGTCTTTTCCTTCATGAGACAAATCACACTGTCAAACTTTACTCCAACTGAAGTTGAATATTTGAACTCTAAATGCAGACTGAGACTGTTTAAATTCTGGAATCTGTATTCAGCAATAATTATTTTTTCTGTTCAGAATTAAGCAGGCAATTAAATACCTTATAGTCAAAAGTTTTTTTTCACTGTTCACTGCAACAGTAAAAAGAGATTGAAAGTCATATTGATCATTATATGCTTCTGTCTCTTAGGAAAGGTACTACATATGGACTCATTCACTATGATCTTGAATTACTGCTTGATAGAAATTCACTTACTTGGCCTCAGAACAGGGAGGGAACAGTGCTGATCCAACCAGGCTATTGCAGTTTGATTCAGATCTTTAAAGCTTGTTGTCGAAACCATTCCATTGAAGGACTCAAACAATGGCTTAATAATAATGCTGAACTGCAAATCATCAAACGTTAAGGGAGACAGCAAAGGAGGAGTTCAAAACATTATAAGGGAAAAAATAACACAGCTCAAACTGCAGGGAAAAATTCGAACTTCAGTTGCTAGTTCTACCAACATTGATTAATTTTTTGCAAAATTCCTGTATCTGAGATTGACCTTATCTCCTGCAAACCAGCTGTATGCTAAGAACTATCAGGTTCTTCCTTTAGCTTTCTGTAGTTACTGCTTGCAAGGATGGGCCACGAGCTGCCAATAACATTCCTGGCAGTAAAAGAGCACGCAGAATTCTCACCTTGTATTGCATTAACATGTACAGAGCATCACCAAAAGCCTTTGTTGGCTGTGTTTCTCAGGCTTTCATGTGAGGTTTCCTAGAATGATCACCATTATATTGAACTCAAAACAGTTCACTATAACATTGACATGCTAACTCACCAAGTAAATATATCTATAGTTTAGAAACGATTATCATACAACTGGCTTCTTAAAAACTCGTCTGAAGGCTCAGAATCTGTGGTTTTACCCTGTTATCCCAGAAGGGATTTTCAGACTACAGTCAGCAACGTGTGAAAACATAGCCAAACTGATCTCCACTTTGTCATACACTCCTATCTTCGTCACTGTGGCTAACAATCAAGGTAGGTCCAGCAATTGCCTGGAATACTCTGGGGATTTACATGTGGTTATGGACTCGAACAGAGTGACTGTGTACTCTTCTGCTGATAGTCTACTATTCGTAAGTACTTTACCCTTGGGTTATCTCCAGTAGCCCAAGAACAGATAACTCATTTCCCTCTCAGAAACCATACATTTCCCAACAGAAACCATAGTATTCTCATATTTGTAAAGAAACTGTCCTTCTCTCTCCTACAGTCATTTCACAAGGAGATTTAAAAAAAAATTACCACCACTCACCTCTCAATCTTCTAACTTTAGTGCGTGACATTCAGAAATATGTCAGCAGTGGCTGAGGTTTCTATCCAGTTGCTGGACAACTGTCCCCTCACAGCTACAAGGAAAAGCTGGGAAAGACTACTTAGCCTGTCAACCTTCCATTTTACCAACCACAATAGCATTTGATACTACAAGCTCAACTACAGGTTTTGTTGTTACATTAAAATTCTGCTGATTTTTCAATAAAGTGAACTTTTATAACTCACCTGAAACTGTTTCAGAGTTAGTGCTATTACTGCACCAAGTGACTGCAGTGAGATCTTGCTAAGAATTGTTACCTAAAAGGATGCTAAAAGGGAGAATTTGGCTTTCTAGGACTAACATAAACCAAACATGAAAAAATAAAGCATTTTCACATACTGAAAGTATTAACAGTGCTGTTCTTCATGCATGCACAAAGCATGGTCTTATACACTCCGATAATCTAAGTTGCCAGGAAGGACAACCGAGTACAAAAACATAGAATACACATAAATACAAACATACAAAGGCTTAATGAGAAAAAGGAAGGTTAATGCTTCTGCTCATTAATAACTACACTTCCACTCTGCTAATTACTAACATCCCTGAACTGACTCAAGCTAATCGTATTTGATCCAAACTAGTACATTTGGATTAGCTAACCTGGTTCTGTTCCCTGCTTGTGGAAATCCACCTCTTGCATTATCATTCCTCTGTAAATGAGCTGCTGGCACTGGAGAAGTAAAGAGAAACTAAGTTGATTCACTGTCATAATGAAAGACAAAGAAATCTGGGGGGGAAAAAGGGAAAAATGCGCAAGTTTTCAAAACTGCCACAACAGTTTCAGTAACTGTCTATAGTCATTTTTTTCTTTTTTTAAATGATTTTTGCAGTTCTCAATAATTCTTTGCAAAAAGTGAGAAAAAACTACAGTTAGAGAAACATTTAATTGCACATTTCTTGGAGTATAACTACCTAATGCCTTTGTACCACATTTCTTTCAAATTACCCCCACAAAGTGAACAAATTCTGCCTCACAACAACATATGAAGTACATTCACACAGATGTGAATGAAAGCTCTAGACATGCATTACTTTAAACAACTTGGCTGAAATCACAGCATTAGAATCCAAGTTATTGCTTCAAAATACATTAGTACCAAACCTCAAGTTCAGCAGTCAATATGAAAGGATACAATCCAGAACTTCCAGTTCTGAAGGGTATTATTTCTCACGTACTCATCAAACATACTCCTTATGTGGTCAAACCTCTGTCGTGTTACTGGAACACCAGTAGCAGGGAGTCGCTGTTGGCAAGAACTGAAAAGAAAATATTCTGAGATCAGAATCTCCACCAGGAATGACAAACTTTTTTTTTACGGTCTAAATTATAGCAACAGAAATGTGTGCAACCCCAGTATCTCAAACTGAGGTGGCTTCCCTCTGCACGACCCCTACCCTGAGTTTATTTGTTACAGCCAGAGATACGCAGTTTTCCAATCAATTGTGTTTATAGTCATGCAGCAAAGCAATTTTTCAAGCTGCTACAAACTCCTTTTTACAAGCAACATAATTGAAAGCAGAGTATAACAGAACAAAGTAGTTTTTGGGATCCATTCAGAAAAAGGCACATTAGGAGTCAAGTTAAAATTTACAAACTAACTCCTTACCAGTGTTACAGAATAAATCGTTACAAAGATTCTTAAGAAACAGATCAATTTAAAATAAAACCAAACATAAGTTATCATAGTCTTTTTTTCTTTTTCTTTTTTTTTTTCTTTTTTAAGAAAAAGAAAGATTTTGATTTGCTGATAAGTCTAATGTAATGCCTAAGCCTAACACTTTTGTATGTGGAAGAAAACTCACTGGGGTTCTCAACATGCTTTTCAATAGCACTTAACTATCGTAAACCCACAGAAGAAACAGGGACACCAGGAGGGTGAATTGATTTATCAGTTACGTTCAGTCAGTGGCATGCTCCATGATTCCAAGTCCTACATAACCAACCACATCGCTTCCAGTATAAACTGAGTGCATGGGGAAAGAAAACTGCAGCAAAGCCATCATGAAGAATAGGAGCGTTTCACCCCCCAGTGAGCCTAAGTTTTTTTTTTAAAGAATCATCACTGGCTTCTGAGAATTCTTCTAACTGATCTAACGCATCTTTTCTGATGCTGCCACTGTTGTGCATTCACACTCAGAGCTTGCTGAAAATCCACAAGATTTGCTACCAATGCCCATCCCAGAACAACTTTGCTTTTTGTTTGGAAGTTGGCAGCACTTCTGTTCAATACCCATCTGTTGTTTGGCATGACATCTGAGGCAAACATCCCCTGTTGTTAGCCAAAGCAACATTCAAGCTGCTCTGCTCCATGACAGAAATCTCCCAAAATCTCACATGATGGCAGCGTTTAGCTCCTCGATTTCTTCCCGAAGGCGCCTGGTTTCCTCTTGCATCTGTGTTCTTTCCTGCTGTAGTTTAGCGATATATTCTACTGTTTTCTGGAGAGTGATTGCATGGCTGATCTAGACCAAACACAAACATAGAGCTCACTTTCTGGAACAAAGCTAGATGGATGAAGAGTTTGCTTCTAACCTGCGGTAATACCCAGAAAAGCACTTCAGCACCTTTTAATTTCCTTCGTCCTGCCAAAGCACACATAGGTACAGGAACACTTTATACTGAACTCCTCATTTATCCGACTCCCATCTGCACACTAATACAGAGAAAATGGCTGCAGAGGTTGTTTTCTTCCCCAAATCACATCTTTTCTATTCTGTTGAAAGCAATATATTCAAACCGTTTATTTCATTATCAATCTTCTAGAAATGCTGGCAGTACTGAAGGATGTGCTGCACCTGCTGAAAAATTTTTTGTGCTGTTAGAATGCGTTGGCTGACAACTTAGTCTGGAAAGCCTGAAGTTGTTCAAACAGAAGGTAAAACGGCCTAGCTATCACCAAAGGAGACAAACAAGGTCACAGATCTTTTTAAAATGCACTTTCAGTTCTGAGGAAACAATTAAAAACCTGCACTTCAGAAATAAACATTTCACTGTAGTCAAATTATCCAAAAAAATCACTACCTTTCAAATAGGCTATAAAAACAAGCAGTGAGATTCTGATTATTTATAGCCTAAACATAGAAATTAAAAAAAAACAATGTAAACACATCCACGCAATGACAGTAAGCTTTCATACTCTCCACGTTTCATGAGGCAGTGGTATTTAAGGATGTTTAGAAAGCTGCATTGCAGAGAAACCTGTGTTTTAATGACTTTAGTTTCAATTTAGAGAATTAAGATTAACCAGCATCATCAGAGTAAGTTCTTAAGCTTGACAACGAGAAGGGATTTTTTTCCTCTGTAAATCTATGCACAAAAAACAAACGACAGGGAAAAACTGAGAACATGTGAAAGGCTATGAGGTACAAGGGCAAATTCCTGAAAGCAGTTGGGTGATGTCAGGAGTCCAATAGGGGTTTTCAAAATAGCCTAAAATGGTCAGACTCCTAACTGCACTCAGGAAGTAAAAGACTAATACGTGTAGTAAGTTCTAGAAATTTCATTTCTAGACACTTGTGAATGGTAATTGCAGTTGTACAACACTGCTCTGCCATACTCTTAGCTATAGTTAACACAGCACAAAGCCTCTGCTAACAAACTGCTCAAAGGTGCGTTTATTAGCTCAGGTCAAATGTCAAGGTATATTTTGTCAGGCTCAACATCTTACCAACAGCATCTACACCTGCCTTCTGGCTGGCTCATCATTCAGGCAGAACAAGTTCACAGTACTGATTGGACACAGCTTTTTGAGTCCAGCTCTGGAAACCAGAATCCCTCCAGAATGGGTATAAAAAGGCAGTACATCAGAAGTAAAGGTATCCTAACAGTAAATGTAGTTATTCTGTGCTGCAAATTTGACAAAATCTTCATTTCAGGGGTTCTAGCAACAAGAACTATAAAAATCAGTTTTATTCTTTCCCTGTTGGCTTTAAAGCTGCAGTCTCCCATCAGAGAGGACTTGATCAACATTTGAAGCTGCATCAACACATGCAACATCTAAAGGGCTCTCACACATCGACCGTAAGGCATGAATTTATCATCCTTCCCTTCCCAAGCATCTCATTTTAACCATCTTCACTGACTAACTGGCATAGTCAGTCAACAGTGGAGAGAGAATTCTTTTTCAGAATGGCTTTCTTAAGCTCCCTATTAAGCCATTAAAGCTGCCAAGTTACTTACCGACTTGGAGTTTGCTGAAACCAAGGTGTTCAAGGTACTGCAGCCAATCCTGATATTAAACCTTCGTTTCTGTTCTGATGAAATACGCTTCATTCTTTGAGTCTGTGTAAATAAAATTATGCTGTTTTCCTTTACTGTTCTACTGCTACAATTACTTCTGCTATTCAAGTCCACAGTGTCATTTTTGTTGAACTACAGTATTCATTGTCTTTCCAAAGCCATAGGATTGTAAACTTGCAAGTGGTTTAAGTGATTAAAAAGAAACAAGCAGAGTATTAAATTCAATTCTGAACCTTGTAGAATTTCCTTCAAAATAAAGATTTCTTAAGACTCTGAAATGCTTTTTTTCCCTGATGTCAAATTCTATATTTTAGGCACATAGTTAGTTAGGATTTTGTTGAAGTATTTAAGTTTAGAACAATCCAAATATTTTTTTTTACCTAATGCATGCACAGAATGTCAATTAACATCAACAGGTTTTCTGATTAAAAAAATAAGAAAAATTCACAATTCTGGCTGAGGACATATATATAGAATACCCCTAAGGATAAAGACTGTCAGGAATTAACATTTTCCTTTGTAGCATCAGTAATCTTGAAGTTGCTTCCAGCAAAACCCTTAAGAAAAAATAACGAGTTTTCTCCTTGAGAATGTGTTTTCTGCAGAACGAGGCTTTCCAAGGACAGCCCATCATCACCCCAATTCACAACTAAGGAAAACAGTGTAGTGAAGTAGTTAAGTCACTGCTCAAAACCACAGAAAGTGCAAGAAAATACAGCATAGATTTCCAATGCCCTCCAAGTTTTGCCAACCTGAAAAAAATGTTACCAAGCAATACAGAACTGTTTAGTTTAACTAAGAATGCTGAGGAGCAAGGAGAGTACATCTAGAGACAAGGAAACAACACTTCCTCTCTCATCTTTGAGAGGAATTACTGTCAATACACATGCAAAGCAATTCCTGCTCACGTGAGTGTCTTCAAATAGCCATGAGCAGCCCTAACACCCGTCACACCGCAGCGCCTTTTCTTTCAAGAGAACTGCTCCATCTAGCGGTCACTTTCCCCACTACTGGCCTGTCCTAACAACCTGTTCCCCAGAAAAAGAAAAAAAATGAATTTTATTCCTGAAGTATTTCACAGCTCTAACTCTAGAGTTTTTGTAGCTGCTTCTCTGTAGAGCTGCAGAAGCATCACTGGAGACATGTTAACTCACTCAACAGGTCAAGAACTCATCCTTCAGCAATGGCTAAAGTTCTGCACCCAAAGAACTCCAACAGACAACGGCAAAAAGACACAGTTTATAAAACTAAACATGACACCTCTGACCAAATAAAATGAGTTCCAGCATAAGACTTCTGTGAGGCAGAGCAGGAACCTGCTGTCACGTCCATAAGGACCTGCAGAGGTACAGTTAAGCCTGGCCTCTCTGTTGAGGCATCTCCAAGGAATCCAAGGAGTAGATTAAAGTTCAAGATCTTAAATTGAACAGATCAGCATAGATGGAGCACAAGCTAAGTCCTCAAGCACAAGTATTCCACTTTCCTGAAGCACAGCTTCAGTTCACACTCAGATACCGGGGAAAAAAGTGACTAAAAGCAAAGAAAAGCACCTGAAAGGAAAGAACACACACCTTAAGTGCAGTCATTGGAGAATCAGAGGCAAGTTTTCCTGAGCAGCTGTTTTGAGGAGACTGTGGACTGGGGCTCTGCTCTGAGGTGCAAGGGGAAGCCTGGCCAGAATTCTGACAGTCTCGGCCTTCATAAAAGAAGAAAGACAAGTCATTAACAAACAATATTCTGTAGCAAATACAACTGCTGTGAAGATTCTATTTGGAACACAACTAAAATGCAGCGGACATCTAAGTTTTGTTCATTGATACAGCAACCAAATGCTATGCATGATAGAAAATGTCAAGATTTCTGCAAAAGCTTAGTATTCCAGAGCTCAAGGCTAATGACATCCTGAATAGCAATACATCGTACTCCTTTTAAATCCACACAAATACACACACAATCAAAAGCACACAGGATCTAATTCCACTATGATGCTAGACTCCCCCATTTGAAGCCATAATGGCCAGGGACACAAGAATAATACTTAAGCCATCTAGCAGCAAAACCAGCACACCTGTCTAAAACTGGCCCAAATACTGCTCCATCAACATACACGCAAGAGGAGTCCTTATGCTTACCTACCATTAATGATTGTGTCTGAGAGTATCCAATCAAAATTATAGTTAGGATACTGAACAATAAACCTATTCAGCACTTTCTACACCAATGCCTTTCAAATGAGTTTAATTAGTCCTTTGTGAATACAATGGAACATAATTTCAGAAAGGAACCATTTACAGAAACCACAAAGTCAGTTTATGGGAACACTGCATATTAGTTTAAGAAAAAACTGTCAACAGTTGGATGCAACTGAAGCAGGAGGGTATGAGGGCCCAAAAAGCTTTTCCTTCAAGAAACATCCTGGAATCTTCAAGGCCCATTTCCACCTTACCTAATCAATGGAAACACACCAGCACATGCAAAGGAGAGAGGAAGCTTACAAATTTCTTTCTTACTAGGTGTAGGTGAGGGAACTTGTGAACTGCTACTGTGGGAAGGGATTTGCTCTCCTTTCACCAGCACATCCTGGACTACATTAGTAGAGAAGAGGTGTGAGACCGTGGACTGGCTTTGTTGACTACTTGACGCTTGCTGTGCTGGACCAACCAGAATGTTACTGCGGAACTCTGCCACCCCAGGAGCCTGGGAGCAGCACGGAGGGAAAAAAAAGAAGAAAAAAAAAAGAAAAAGGGAGAGAAAGAAGGAGAAAATGAGAAGGAAAAAAGTAGTATTTATTACCTTGTCTTTGGCTAAAAGTAACAAATTAAAACACCACTAACAGTCTGATGACACGAAACTGATACTTAGGGAACTGTCAGGCACCGAAGCCAGACTTCTGGCAGGAAACCAGCATCCCTTCAGAACTTAATGCAGTATTACAACACAGCAACAGCACAACACAATAAAATATAGTTCCATCTTTCTGTATACGACATACTGGAAAACCCACTCATAAACTCTAGGCATACTTTCCAACTTGAAAATAGAAAGGCGAGTACCCCAGGTTCTTTCTACCTTCTGCATGATTAATAAAAAGCAAAAAACTGCCCCACTAGGAGTACAGTGTAGGAGTTTCAATTTGTAATCATATTGTGAGACAGAGGCTGTGAAAATTAGATAGTACTTTCAGGCCCACAAAGAACTTCAAATAAAAATAAGCAAACATAATAGAGACTGCACACACATGCTGCTAACAGTTGAGAATTGGTGGATTAGTTGCCCCCTTGAGCTCACTATGGCTCTAACAGCTTACAAAAACTGACCTTAAGAAAACCAAACATTTTTAAAATTCTCCTTACTCTGGCAATTCCAGCTGGTGCAATTGCAACATTAGACTGAGACATGGCAGGCGTCAAAATCCCCTCTCTTTTTAAAGGTGTGGGAGTTACAATCACAGCTCTGGACTGTCCCTGAAAGGCAGCTGAAGAACACAATTAAGGTAGAATAGTTAACAAGACAAAAAAAAAAAAGGAAGGTGAAGATTATTATGTATGAAATTATGAAAATACTGGGCACTGAACAGGGGGAATGGGCATCCATGCTGTACTATTTCACTACCTTAGAAAGTGCCATCAGTTTTTTGATAATCTCAGTTCCATGAGTCCAGTTCTTCTTTGTCCGTATATTAAATTCTCTTTCTCACCACTTCAGTCTACTAACATGTTTCACCACCTGGTTTTACTGCTGCTTTATATGAGACAACCAAATGTGACTGCAAATCATCAAATTTCCACAGAAATTTCCAAGAATTCTACGTGGTTATAAAGCTAGAGCTAATTGTAAATAGCAGCATCTGTCTCCACAATGAAAGTTTAAAAAAAATCTCAAAGATCATCATCACTATAGGAAGCTTGCACCTATGACAGGAATTAGAATCCTCACCCTAGATAAGGTGGGTTGGTTTTTGTTTGTTTTTTTCCTTTCTAGCAATTAGGGGCTCAGTTTAACCAGTTTAACCAGATGTACGTTAATGCCAACATTGGTTTTGCATAGATTTTACAGAGAACATAACTAACTATCCTATATTATCACTAAGGGAAGAATCATGCAAAAACAGTGCTTCTGCATGCTTTTTGAGAAAACTCGAGCCAAACTCCCTCTAGCCTGCGTATTTGTTTCAACTCGCTTGCTCAGAGTCTTTACGTTGAAGTGGAGACAGCAGAATTCTTTCCCATGCAAAACTGTTTGCCTGATGAGATAATCTTATTTTTGAGTCATTATTTCACAAGACAGTAAGCAAAATACATCCCTTTCTAGGGAGATTATAATGCAGTTCACTTTGCAGTCATGAGATTATTTGTTTGTCCTGAACACTCTGACACTTCAGTTATAAGTACTGATGTTTACACCGCTGTCAAAAATAAAGCTTCAGTCTTTACAAAAAGTTTTGACTTTGACCTCTGAGCTTGGTGTCCCAGCAATTTAGGAGCATTGTGATCTCTGAACACACATCACTGCTAGGAATAAAGAACACCAATGGCTTTAAAACTACAAGAGAAACCAAACTGTTAGTTGTGGTTGTCCAGAAGAAAGTGAAGTAGTATTGGGAAAGCATACAAGGGGTGAGGAACTAAGATGCACTGTGTATGCTAGGAACAAAGGCTTTCTGACTGCTAGAGTTGTTCACAATGCTTTACTATGCAAGTAACATCTTGGCTGCTGTAAACACTTGTGCTTACACAAGCACTTAGTGACTTGTGCTTAATAAGCACGACAGACAGAAATGTTGCCAGGAACACCTGCTCAGTGACAAGCCCTGGCTGACATACCTACCACTTTGTAAAGCCTATTTAAGGATACTCCTCCATAGGAGGGTTTTTCTTGGATTGTTGTTGCACATTCCACGCAGTTGAGGTCACTTGGATCCCAGCCAGCACAAGTTTGAAAACAGAGCACAGTAATTCCAAGACAAAGTTTGTTGCCTGTCCTGCTCTACTCTTGAACTTTCTCACAAGAAGAACCACAAACTCTCTGCTCACACATGCTATTCTGGCCCTTGTGAAATTCTAATGTCTTCAAATCACACCCAAGGTGAATCGGTTCTCCTCACCCCCGTCCTGCTAAACACTGATGATTTATGGAATGATTTGTAGGCACGTATCCATGCTTCCATCTGAACCAACATTGTGGTCCACTTCAACAACTGCTCGCTAGCTGAACTGCCTCAAAGAGTTTCAGGCAGGCCGAGATGAGCATCTGAATACATTCAAAGTGTTACTAACGTATATATATCAGCACCCTAGTGTTACAGGGCATGATGGCGCAAAAACAGGCACAGTGACTTGTCCAGGGCAACCAGCTGAGCCTGTGACAGACCTGCCATTCCCCATCTCACAGAGTCTCCCTGCCACACCACTGTGTGGCTGAATGTTTTGAAGGAAAGCTAAGAACAGTATTAAACATCAAAAACAAGGTTTCAGTAGCATAAGAGTTATGCAGAGCTCTGGTCAACCCATGTGCTGATGCACCTACACAACCCAGCAGAAATTTTACAAAGCAGACACAATCTCAGTGCTGAAAACCTCCCCATGCATGACCTTTTTGACAAGTCAGCTCTGCACACACAACCAAACTGCATCTAATTCTCTCAGTCCAGAGCATCCCACTGTAGTATAGCCACATGCCAGTAGTTTGGACGATCCCTTGCACACCCTCAGGAAGCTGTATTTTTAATCATTATGTAAACCAAGAAAAACAAGAATGTGTTCCCCTCCTGCTAGTTCCACTCAAAAAATAACATCACCCACCATTTTTTCTCACCTGGGGTGATGAAGGCATTCTTTAGCACTAAGGACACTGTTTCAGGCTTTGGAGCAGATGCTATTTTTTGTGACTGTTTGGGCCTTGTCCCAGCACTAGCCAGGGGAACAGGTTTGGGGAGTGCAAACGTCAGTTGGGACTGCAGCTGGGGTCGAGGCTGTCCCTGCAGGACAGTAGTCTGGAAAGCCAGGTTACAAGGCACTCCTGCTCCTGGCTGCTGTGTTGCCAGGACGAGGTTCTGGCTCTGGCTGAAGGTGGTGGCAGGGGCATTGTGCGTCAGCGTTGCAGAAGCTGTGTGGGTGATAACCGTAGATTCACAGAGGCCAAACTTTTGGGTTTCTGGTGCTGCAAAAGCAGATGGTGGAGAGTTTAAGCTAGTATTCAGAGGCACTGCTGGCAACGGGGACTGGTGCTGTTGTGTTGCAGGTTGAAGCAGTGGCAAAGGTGTCTGAAACACTGGCAAAAAAGTCTGTGGCCCACTCAGAGACGAGTCAGGAGCAAAGTCTGCTGGCTGGATGAAAGATCCCCCACTTCTAATGCTGGAACACTGGTCAGTGCCAACATCAGGAATGACAGGAGAAGGTACTGAGGAAGCAATCAGTCCATCGCTGATGTTCCCAGATGGAAGTGTGTTGGGCAGTGAACCCGATGGCAGGACAGGAGACTGACAGAAAAGAAAAAAAGGAACAGATTCAGATGTGACCCCCTCAAGCTAAAAATCTTTTTGCTCATGTTTAAGCCATACATGTCCGCAATGAGGCTGTTTTAAATGCTGAGGTTCTCCCTTACCTGAGAAGAATGACTGCTGCTGTCTGTTGTAGCTGAACTGACAGCAGACACAGAAGGGAAATAAGCACTGGAACGACTAGGTGTGAATAAATCTGAAATATAAGAAATCACCTATTACTTTTTTTCTTCTAATATTTATGGTCTGGCACCACACCATGAAATATCAGAATTTCCAGGAACAGCAATATTATTTAGCAAGGAATGAAACCAGGAGATTTTTACTTTATCAAGCTAACTGAGCAATACATTGTTGTCTGCTAGAAAAACTCATCTCTTTAGGGCAGACCTCTCATGCAAGCTGAGGATAAGGCAAGAAAAATTAACATACTGTTCATAGTTCACCTGTATGCAGATACTCAAGAGCTGATTCTCAGTGCAGTCCCACAAAACTCAGTGATCTGATGCAGACTGAACAGAGGCCCAGCAAACAGATGTCACTTGACTTCCATGTTTTGTTTACCTTTCATTTAAATCCCTTATTTCTAAAGAGAGTAGATATCTGCAACATTTAGCTTCTGTTTAACACTAGTTCTTAAATTAATTAAACACTAGTTCTTAAATCACTGCAATTTTTAAGAAATTAATTGACTATCAAATTCTTACCCTGAAAAGTCTCAAAAGTGTCCATGAAATCAAAATTTGGCTGGAGGGGAATAAGCCCTGGTTGAATCATGTCAGCATTTCCTAAGTGCGCTGGAAAATTCAAGAAAGAGAGAGATCAGCTTTGTATCACTTGAACAGTAACTCGCACAGTAGGAATATGGCACTTAGCTAGAACACCAAGACACACTCCACAGCCAGACTTGGTCAGGAATTTTACAGAAAAAAAACACTGCATAACAAATGGAGCATCTGCCTTCTTTCAAAATGACAGCTCTGATAATGGACAATCAGGGAATTAAACTCTCAATTAGTAAAAAGGAGAAGTGAAACTCTCAAGGTTCTCACTAACAGCTGAGGACTGGCTAGCATGGACACCTCACAGGCTTGTTGCTCCCAGACCTCCTACCCTGGCCCTGCTGCACAACACACAAACTCACCGGGAATCACAACTTGAACAATATCATCTCAAAATAAGCCATTATCCATTTTGCTTCAAGTACATTTCATGTAAACTACGGTGGCTCTGGAGTCGCTCTCAGACAGCTCAAACACCTACACAGCAAGGACAATGCACCATGGACATCTGCTGTCTTATTAGTGATTCAGAGCCTTCAGTTAGCAAGCGGTCAACAGAAACACACTGCTCTTGGGATTGTTTTTACAGGAGATGTGACTCTCACTTTTTCTGAAGGACATATGAAAGGATTTGGAAGCTAGAAAAAAAGTATTCCCTTAAAAGTACACACAACTGCTTTAAATAACAACACCTTACTCATCACAGAAATTAAATACTGCTCTTTAGGGATTTATTCAGAGCAACATTAGAGGACAACACTAGGAAAAGTGAAAAAAAAACACTAAGAAATGAAATTTGGATGATTAACTGGGATTCAGTAACCTACAAACTATTCAATAGCTACATTCTCTGACTTATTTTAATCTGTCATCAAAGTAAGATACAATTTCTTAAGCAAGACTAGAAAAGCAACAAACAAGATTTCTCCTAGAGGTTCCCACTGCAAAATCAACACAGCTAACAGCCAACAAATACCTATCTCCCTGGGATTTGGCCAGGAAACCAACTGATGTGAAGACAGCGTGGAGAACAGGGTGTCGGTGAACTCAGACATAAGCATATCCGCATCCAAGAGGCTGCCCTCCTCCATAGGGACAGGGGTTTCTCTACTATATCTTCTTTTTTGCCAGAGAACCACATCATCATCCTGCGAAAGGAAAAGAAAAGCTGCCTAGACAATGCTAAAGCATCCAGCTCCAGAAATACAAGAACGATTGTCACTTTTCAAATTTCTAAGGGCCATTCAAATGGACTGAAACAGATCAGTGGTACTTCTAATTATACTTCAGCTCACAGATTTGAAAAACAAAACACTTCTAAAGAAGTTAGCCCGCGTGCTAGAACAGCATGGGAGAAATTTTTGCCCAAAAAAACAGGTGCAGACTAGTAATACATAACAGATCAAATAACTGCAGCAACATTTTCTAATTTCATTGAGCATACGTATGTATTTGCAGCTACACCTTGGATAAAGATTTAAAATAACACACACAGCAAAAACTCAAAGCCAACAATTCCTATCTTGAAGCATAACTGAATCTGAAATTTACTTAATCTAGCTTCATGTAAAGTATCTGTATAAACTTGTGGGCATTTTTCTTGTGAAAAATACAATATAACATGACTTTGCTTACTCTTCCTTCATTACAGACTAAGGCCAACTATTTTTTTTTTTGCTGCAGACTAGAAGTATAGTCTGCTTCTTGTGGCTGAGTCAGCATGCAGCATTAACCACACCAAAATACCATGGTGGTACAATGGAGCTCACTGCCAAAACACCTGACAGTTTTGTGAAGCTGGGACAGATCCAGATTTATGTTCAACTCCAAAAAGAGGGAAAAAAAAAAAAATCAGAATAATACTTCTGATCATTTTATATGCCCAGAACAGATTTGATGGCTTTATAAAATTTTTTGTTTTCATGCTAATTTATAGCACTGTTGTTCTTCTAAATATCTTGCCATTTTTAGGATCCTGGCATGTTATTTGCCAGTGTTGTGACAGCAGGAAGATCAACAATGTGTACTGCACACATCCTCTCATATCCAGTTACACAAGCAAGGAAATAGTGCCAGTTATGACTCAGTAACAAGATGAAATAGCATGCCAGTTCTCCAGGAGATTGATCCCTCTGCACATCCAAAACTGCTTCTCATTTGTTCTGTCACAGCACTTTAGATTCAACCTCTCCTCTATCCAATTTAAACTAGAAATCTTACATTGCTTTTCATGGTATAGAAGCATTAAGCTGTCTAACCTTAATTAAGACTTCAGCAGGATGCTTGTCTTTAGATTTTAATCTGTGCAAGCTACTGCATGTTACAGCTTTGTTACTTATTGCAGCTTCTACAAACATAAGTGCAGCCACTTTTCTCTGGAATCACTTACCCTGACCAAACTCGACAGATCTTCATCTTTATGTTTCTGTAACTGCAAATGGAGAACAAAACAGATCTTAAAGTCAGAATACATTCTATATATACCAGTAGAAGACCCAACTGCAAAACTTACAATATCCAGTCGTACCCAATTAGTCACTGCACAATCATTTTTTTATTTAGTGGGACTATTCAGTAGAGTAAACCTTAGTATTACCTTAAAGTACTCGCATAATCTCTGTTTTAAGTATTACTGCATGTTAGGGACATCAAAACTCAAAAAGCAACAACATACTGGTTAACTAAGCTACATTAACAGTGCAAATGAACAGACCCTTTTCTTGAAGTATGTTCTCCACTTGTGGTATTCCCTGATGACGATTTCAATCCTTCGTTTCCAGTACTTTCCTTCTGTTGCAATGGCCTGAGAACACAGATACAAACATACCATGAATTACGCAGAATCATATAATGGTTGAATGTTTAATAAGTTTCCAAGCAAGTATTCAGGAAGAAAAAACATGAAAGAAATCCCGTTAATTCTGTTTGAGCTCATGTATATCAGTAGCCCAGTTGTCCCAGAGTATATCTGACAGTTTATTGTGAGGAAGATGAAACCAGACAAGGGTATAGCATTTGTAAATTATACGAAAGTTTTACAGTACAGAGAGCTACATCTACTGCCACATCAATGGCCCCACTAATCTTCTACAAGGAGCCAAAGGGCAACTGTTTGTTTCCATTTTGTGCAGAAGCATGACAATGGAAGTACACAAACACACATTCACTTTTTTTGTGAAGTTACCCTGATTAAAACAAGTTTTCTCATGTCTTGAAATTACACTTCATCAATTGAAGATACAGAAAACTCTCGTAGGATCACATTAATTCAGATCCAAAAATAGCTATCACTGAATAGCCTGAAGAGAGCAGTGGCTGTCAAAATCTTAACCATTCAAACTGTACTTCACCAAACTAGAACACAGACATAACAGAGACTTTTGGCTGTTCCCTGATCACCTCAACGGGACGAAACTATGAAAACATGGGTTCAACAACACACTTTCTTCACGTTAATGGTTCCTTCTAAATAAATAAAGACTATGGAGCACAGAAGTACTAAGCTGCTTTCCTATCTAGTGGACTAAAAAACAGTATAATCTCTAGAGCTCATTAGTCTTTTCCTCAGCTGATACATACCTCTGGCCGACGATGTTCATCTACATCAACAGAGCCATCCAGGGGAGTCACAAAATGGCACACTGGATTCTTGCGCTTCTCAAGGTCTGAAACAGGAATGAAAATCCGAGCACTCAAGAAGTGTGGGCTCTACAGGTAGCCCTGTTACCACAACAGAAACGTGTGGGGAAAAAAATATATATATTGCCAGGTCTCTCCCCGACAGCCAACAGGAAATGAAGAAATTTCAGGCAGTGCTTCCCCTGCATGAAAAAATCTAAGAGTGCTGATCTAAAGATGCAGCCACAACAGGTATCCACACATCGCAGCCTCCAGCAGATTTCTGAGATTTTCATTAAGCAGTAATTTCAGATCTTTCTTGCTTCTTGCATGTGTAGCTCAGAAAATATTTTATAGCAACTGACAGCCCAGTTTAATACTTACACTGCATGTACCATGCCCTCCAGATGGCGTTATTGAGACGGATTTTATCTCTCCACTGAAGTTTCAAGCCTTTAAAGTTTTTCCATTTTGGAGACACTAGCTTCCCACTAAAACAAAACAGAAAGCAAAATCATTCTGATTTCAGTTTTTCTCTTGCTGCTGCTATCAAGACAAAATGTCCCCTTAAATTGCCAACAGGAAGACATACAAGCAACCATGATTGGCTAATGACAACTTTTGCCATGTGCTGTCCAATGCTTACTGATCTACACACCAGAGAGCAGTTTTCAAGACTTCTTCATATTCTTATCTGCCTGCTAACAACTGTCACAACAGGTTTTGCAAGCATTTCAGGATTGCAACTCATTTCACCCCTACACATTTTTCTTCTTGCTAGTATTCAGCCTTCTCAAATTTCAGCCTATGACTTCCATTAACTGACAACGAGAGTACTTAAAATTAAAATCTTGCAGGTTTGGCTGTATTATAGTTTTATCTGGCTTGGATTTTGCCAGGGAGCTGGATGAAGTCAACACAAGTTCTCTCCTGCAGTTCCATTTGATTTTCTGGAATGGTAATACTGGAAAGAATGAATGAAATACCAGTTTCGGCCCAAGAGAAACCACCACCCACCATCTCTATAGTGCTGATAAACACAGCTGAGCAAGCTGGCACACAGATTCACCACCAGCCTAGAAATAGTAACATTTCTCCAAAGAAGGGGAAGACTAGAAAGAGAAATAGCTGATGTATGAATAGCCTTAGGGTTGGGGGAGAGGAAAAAGGAAGAAGCAACATGTAAACATGACAAACATCAACTTCCCAGCCCTTACAACACCTTCATGAATCATTAATCCATGCTATTGACAGATCAGAGGAAGTAGGAAATACTCCTAATGTAGTATATTCAAAACACAAATTAAAGTACGTGCTGCCCCTCTCCCAGGTTCCCCCTCTCATTTTCTGTTATCTGTGAGTTTGGGGCAGACAGTGGATCCATCCATTCATTTTAGAACCCCACATACATAATCTCATTCTGTTTTCAAGCTTTTTGCAAGTCTGTTGTTGCTCTTCTTGTTGAATATTCCTCCCATCTCCACAAGCTGCCTCACCACCTTCCCAGCACACAACCAGCTCTGTCCCAAAACTTCAAGTCTCTTAGCTTACCATTTCTTTCAAATCTAGGTTAAGACATGGCTTCCCCATTTCTCATGGGCACATTTACAGTTCAGAAAGAAGTCATTAACATGCTGACACATCACTAACACTGACAAAATGCCCATACGCCTCTGACTAAGTCTGTCAACTTAATGTTCATCTCAGTTGCTGTGTGTATCTGGACAGTTTGCCAAAGCAACAAAACTAGTAATGTTCATTCAGCAAATCAAGAACAAATGCTTTTCTTTAGAATAATAAAGAAATAAAAATCCCTGAAAGGAACTGTGATGAATATACAAGAGATCATTACATCTTCAAGGAGCCAATTAAAACTGGAATTTAAACACAAATAGTTTAAAATGTTCGCTATTACATTCTTCCAAAACACTAAACAAAAAGTAGAGCATCAAAAGAAGGAAGCGATTAAGAACCTATTCTCAAAATAATTATTATTTTTAGTTCCCATGGGAGCAAAGTACAAACCCAGCTTGAGGTCATAAGTGAAACGCCTCTACCCTTAACGAGAGAAAACAGCATGAAGCTGACAACAATATTTAGATACTAGCCCAAATTCAATTACTTGGAACAACACTGCGACTGAAAGCAGCAGCCTAACTGAAACCCACCTTCAGGTTTTAAAGAAGCAAAGCAAAATGAAACAAAGAAAACAAATTCATCTACCCAGATAACCACTATCTGTTGTTGCTGCCAGCTCCCCAGCTGCTCAGAACACCACAGCTCCAACAAGGATACGGAACGGCTTGCTGATCAGCTGCTCATTCCCAACGTACCTGGGAGCACAGCTTTCCCAAACCTCGTTCTTCCTACAAGTGCTGCTGCAGCTCCCCAGGAGTGCTGGCTGCAAAGGAGGGAAGCATCCCTGAGAAGGCACAGGCTGTGACAGCTACATCCAGCCATAGGCAAGAGCTGGGGGAGGCAGGGAACGCAGCTCTCGCTGCTGCCTTGCTGCCAGCTGCACCGCCTGCACTGCGCAGGACGTGATGGCCCACACAAACAATGTTGAAGTATGAGACTTCGCTATCTTTACCACTGCCAAACTCCAAGTGAGTGAAAACGGCTTGATGGATAATGCACAATACATTTCAGGAATTTAGAACTCTCATGTAGAGATCTCCATCTCCCAAAACCAAACATCTTCAACCATAAGCCAACTACGAAAGCTGCCACAGCCACCGGAGCTGGAAGCACTGTAGGACAGCAGCCCCTGTGAGCTTCAGAGGAGCCACAGCTCTCAGAAGAGAAACCACAGAGAAATGAGGCAGCCACTTCCTGTGCTGCAGCTCACCTGCAAGTTCTGGACACACCGAGAAAGGTCAGAGCCCAAGATTTCTGATAGTTTGCCCCAGCTCAGGACCTTCCTCAGGCAATTGAGATCCAAGCAGGCACATACACACCTGATCTGTCAGAGGAACACACAGCTCCACACATTTTTGAAATTCCAGGAAGAACAGCTGTGCTTTAAAAGCAATGGAAAACCCTCAAATGTCACAAGATTCACAGCAAGATGCAAGAAACAGATGTCCGTTGTGAGGGCATGACTTGATCCCCTTAAACACAAACACATTTGATTTTTAACTTTTTCTACAAGAAATTAAAAAGTAGCTTAGGAGAAGGTGTGCATTCTAACGCTCTACAAACCAGACTTTTGCCCTAGCAATACCTATTTTTAGTCAAAGCTCAACCTTTAAGAACCTCAGCTTTGGTTTAAGTTAATAAAATCCAGAATAAAGCATTTCTGGCATACACAGGCAAGCAGTAGGAGACGTTTTCCACATGTTAAAGGGATGTCTTCTGCTGATAATTAGCAATGAACATAATTTTAAGTGTATAGTTCACAAATACTATCTAAAAGATCAGTTAATGAGTGATCTTACAGGACACTTTAGTGACAATTTTGACCCAGCAGGGACAATAGAAATGAGTAACCTTCTTCCTTAGCAGGTACGGGGCACGTGAGATGCCATTCAAAGCTGTTAGGATGACTTCAGAATTAAGGCAGTAGCCCTTTGTAATTAAAACACTGATAAACCATTCAATCCAGCTCCTCTAAAGGCAGTGGAAAAACTCCTGGTGACATCAGTAGTAACATGATCATGCTCTGACACCGTAAAACGACTTACAACAGAAGAATCCCCTGTTCTCCTCCCTGAAACCAGAGAGTTTTGAGATGGACTTTGGACAACATCAAGCCATGTGACACCACCACCCTCCACATTAGGACAGAAAAGGACTGTGTGCCAGCAGCACACAGGATGTGCCGGCTCATGCAAGCAATGCTGGAGGAATATGTGACTTCCTTGTACAAAACCAGAGGAGATTGGATTGTTGTGGTTGTTTTTTCCCCAATACTTACTAGAAAATTATTATTTCAGGAAACATAGGTTTCTACAAAGAGGACGGAAAAGGCAGAGAACAACTGATCTGCTGGAGGCTGCTCTGGATAGCTTATCCAGCCAATTAATAGATGCACTGCATAAGCATTAAACCAAAGCTGCATAGGATAGCATAGCAGAAACTTCTTAGTTGTTTCCAATTCAGCCTGCAGTTCCCTGGTTTTGATCTACCTCTGAAACCACCAGAACTGTAGCACGTCACATGTTTCCAACTTTTTTGCTCCCCATAGAAGTCACTAAGGAAAACTTTGCCTCCAACACCAGTTTAAAAAATCCTCTTTCTCCATTCAGAGAAAAACTAAGTTCACACTGCACACCATGACACACAAATGCTGCTGACCAAGGAGCTCCAACCAGCAAGCTATTTTGCAATTGTAATAAACTAAATACTGCACAAAAGGTCTGAAAAATACCCTGTGAGAGAAGAAAAGCACTGTGTGATCTCTTGCTTAAAAACAAGGAGACAAGCAGTAAGACTGAATGCTCATAGCTACAGAGTGTGTGAATAAGAGTTAGAAGTGGGACAGATTTTTGACAGACCACTAAGTTCTGCATGTGAAAGCTTCATTCCCACCCTCTTTCACTTATTTTAGTATTTAGGGACAAGGAAAAGCTGTTGCTAGAGTTGACTCTAGCACAGAAGTTATTTTTTAGTTCTGCACTCACACAGCAGCACCTGGCCTAGATCTATCCTAAGTGGAATTCAAACATAAACCTCTGAGTGCCAGGCTCAGATTCCACAGGCCTGACCCTGCTGCCCAAATATATATTCTCAGCAAACACAGCAAAGGTACCTCGACATGCAGCCACCACAGACTTGCAGCAATAGCTTCTCATACAGACGATATGTATCTTATGTAATATAGTTGAAAGCAAACATTTTTTTCATACCTGAATCTCATACATTCAGTTATAGGAGCAAACTACAGAAGTGTACTTTGTTCTTGTTTATTAATAGATTCCCACTGACTTTGTGCTCGAAAATCCTTTTTGCCTTGATAATTCCTATCCTAAAACTCTGCATTTGTTTTCCAATTCCCTCCCATACATGGCCATTCAATCTTTTGAGGTAGACTAATTTTTCTTTTAATAGCAAGAGACTCTTAATTTAATCAATTAAAAAAAAAAAATCTGATTCGATATTACAGTAGCTGAATAGATTAAGCTGTTCAGCAACACAGAAAAGGAACTCTTTGGCTTCTCCCCAGCATTTTCTCCAGGAATTGGTTTTAGTTTCTTTTTTAATCTCCAATCGGTTTTGCTGGGGAGCTGGACCTGTAAGCTCAGCTCCTCAAGGGCCAAAACTAACAATATTTTCCCAAACAAAGGTTCATTCAGAGAATCAGATTATATGCATTGTGTGCTGGACCAGAGAAGCAGGCAAGTGAAATGCAAACTTTCCTACACTGAGCAAGTCTGCAGCACTTGCAGGGAGGCCACACTTTCACATCCTCAAGTTCATATCCACAAAGTTAATCCCAGTTGCAGCCTCAGGACACTAATCCCAGCCAAGTAAGCATTACAGTCTCTCATTT